CTCCACCCACCAACTGTAACTTGATTGCTTAAACATTTCATGGTGGGCATCTCTTCCTGACTTTGTATTAACTTATATTGGGTTATTGTTCTCTGTGTATCTGTGCTGTGCTATACTTCATGGAGGCAGGTAGTCCTGGTAAGAATTTGCCTTCTGCTCCTGAAGGAGGCTCATGAGTCACTGTTGAACAGAGGGCAGAGACTGGACGGTTGTTACTTAAAATTTCCCCTCAGAAAGTCAAGGCTGAACCTTTTCAGGCAAGTCTTGGTTTTTTGTTCTTTCAGGTCGGAATTTTGGATACATCTTTCTAGAGGTTGAAGAGGTAAGTCTAAGCTTTCAACGTTCACACTGAGAAAGCCCCAGGGAATGACTTGAGCCAAGTTTGGAGTGGCATAACTGGATAGTAGGAAAGTAAATATAACAGAGAGGGAAAAGAGAAAAGACCCTCCGAAATCAAGGCAAAAGAGACTTCCCTGGTGGCCCAGTAGTTAAGAATCCACCTGCCAATGCAGGGGACACTGGTTCTATCCCCCATCTGGGAAGATTCCACATGCCTTGGAGCAGCAAAGCTCGTGAGCCAGAACTACTGAGCCCTCTTGCCTAGAGCTCACACTGCATAACAAGAGAAGCCACTGCAAGGAGAAGCCGAGCACCACAAGGAAGACACAGCGCAGCCAAAAATAAGCAAATGCATAAAAGAAATCAAAGCAAAACTTCCAAAGTGTCTCTTTCTCCATGTAATTGCTGGAATGTGGATTCCCTTCCCTCTTCCCCCTCCTCTCTCCCCAAAAGACAAGAGGCCACAGATCGCAATACCAGTGAGGGATAGAGGAGCTCTAGGCATGAGAATTTGATCCCTCATTCAAATGCACACCCAGATACATGTGTGTCAACTCCTGATGTTACCTCACTGGATAAGTGCTTCTCCAGACCTAGCATATTTTGGTTGAGACATCCAGTCTGTGTGGCACCTGATGGAACGGAGGTGTTGCCTGCCACCCTGTGGCTGCAGGTGACGCAACAGAGGTGTGGGTGGCTGGCTGATTCCTAGTCTTGCCTCTGAACTTGAGTTCCCACCTGTGTGGATTTAAGCACTGTTTTTCTGAGGAGAGGATGGTGCTCATTTTCCTCATCTCCTCTTTCAGGGCTCTTTCCTGTGTTTATTGACTCTTCATATGTGCTCTCACTTGCTAATGCTATCCATGCTACACTCTGTCTATGCATAGGATGGGAAAGGCTCCACACTTGACTCCAAAGTTTCATCCAATGAAACAATGTTTCATCCAATGTTAACTCCTGAATATACCCTCCAGGGGTATATGTCCTCTTCCTTCCACATCTAGCATGATCTTCATGTATCCACCTCTCCAAGGATTGTTTCTTTAAAGTGATTTTATGCACAAACTCCACATGTCCTTCCTGTCTTCTGCTTCCCCATAAGCACCTCCCTGCCCTCATCTAATTGTTTCTTCCCTCTTTCATATCCTGTTTTGTTAGTTTTCAGATCTGAAAGTTGACTGCTGGCTTCTTGGTTTTCTGCTTTAATTTCTAAGTCATAGATTACTTTCGGGCTAAAAAGTTTCCCTCTAACCACTGTTTTGGTCATCATCATTCATTGGAAATTAAACTTGTAATAATTTGACTCCTCAGTGATTTATTTTTTTTAATATTTATTTGGCTGCATCAGATCTTAGTTGTGGCATGAAGGATCTTGCATTGCAGTGCAAGGACTCTAGTTGTGGCACTTGGGCTCAATAGTTTCAGCACTCTGGCTTAGTTGCTCCATGCCATGTGCAATCTTAGTTCCCTGACCTGGCATTACAAGGTGGATTCTTAACCACAAGACCACCACGGAAGTCCCTCATCTGTGATTTAGACTAGCCCTTCCTCCCCAGTTCTGGAGTTTTGTTCTTCTCTTTTGCTATCATTTTTATTCAAACTTTTGAGCTTACTGAAAGTATAACTTAAGTTTTTGCCTTTTGTATTTGGCACTGAGGTAACCTCATTCCACAGGTTTCAATCTGAAGTATTTCACTATTATTTCTTCCAATGATTTTGTAGATTGCAGGTCAGTTTCTCATTTGACTCATCAGTAACACAGTAGTTTGTATGGCTTTTCGTTTAAAAGAGTATTTTTTCACTCTTTTTCTTTTTAACTGATTTTTATCTGATGTTAATTTTAACCAGTTATGTTCCCTAAATAGGCATTAATTTTTTTCCTATTGTGTTTATAATTTAAAGGGATTTTCACATCTCTGAGCCTTAGAACCCAGAGAGGACTGTGGGAAATAGGACTCCTCAAAGCAGAGATTAAATCTCAAAGCTCTGAGATTTATTAAGTAAACTCAGGTCCAGGGCTAAAGGGTTTTGTACCCCCAATTCCAATGTGTGGGAAATTTTTTTCCTTCACATATCTAAGCCATTCTGAGACACCAGATAAGTGTCCTACAATTCAACTCAGTTCTGAAACTGTCTACCCAGAGATAGCATCAGATTCCACAGGTTATGGGCTCAGTCCTACAAGACTTCCCCACTCCCCCCACCCAAGATACCAGTCATAAGTCCAGGTTTTCACCTGGGCTTCTAACCAACAGGCTATAGATTGGAGGCCCCAAAGGCCCCCTCCTTGTTTAACTTGTTGGAGTGGCTCAGAGAATATAATTTTATTTACTAGAGAACCAGTTTATCATAAAAGATTACAACTCAGTAACAGCCAGATGGAAGATATGCATAGGCCAAGGTATGGGGAAGGGGTGCAGAGCTTTCATGTTCTCAGAACACATGCTTCTCCTGAATCTCTACCAACTTGGAAGCTCTTGAAACCCCATCCTTTGGGGATTTTGTTGTTATTGTTTAGTCACTAAGTTGTGTCTGATTCTCTTGAATCATGGACTGTAGCCCACCTGGCCCCTCTGTCCATGAGATTTCCCAGGCAAGAATACTGAAGTGGGTTGTCATTTCCTTCTCCAGGGGATCTTCCCAACCCAGGGACTGAACTGGTATCTCCTTTAGTGGCAGGTGGGTTCTTTACCGCTGAGCCACTGGGGAAGAGGCTTTATTATACAGGTGTGATTGATTAAATCATTGGTCTTTGAAGATTGATTCAACCTCCAGTCCTTCTCCCCTCCCTGGAAAAAAAAAGTTCCCAGAGCCCCATCATCACCCAACCTGCTGTTATGTTTGATTTATTATAGATAACCCATCAGCCTGGATCTCTCTTCTCTGTGTACATGTCTACACATATCTTGAAGTTGCTCAGTCGTGTCCAACTCTTTGCAATCCCATGTAGCCTACGAGGCTCCTCCGTCCATGGAATTTTCCAGGCAAGAGTACTGGAGTGGGTTGCCATTTTCTTCTCCAGGGGATATTCCCATCCCAGGGATTGAACCCAGGTTTCCCGCATTGCAGGCAGATGCTTTACCATCTGAGCCACCAGGGAAGCCCTTATAAGGATCGGGATTATCACAGGATCCCACCTCCACGGCTCCCCTTCCCCTTCTAGCCCTTCTCTGACACTTTTCAGTCCCTCCATTTCATTTGTTCTTCTCTCTGTGCCATGACTAAATTTGGGGTCCACTGAGTTCTTTTACAAGCATTCCACATTTATCGACATGAAATCCTTGGGGAGGGCTGTCAAGAACTGGAATAGGGTGCTGGGCTGATCCTCCATTCTGAATTCCTATGCACTGGGGGAGACTGATATTAACATGCAAGCCTTGTTTTTTACTTCTTCAGACAAAGGGATACTGGAGAAGATTCTGAAGTAGTGTTAAGATTTAGGAGTAATCTTTGAATATTTGCACCATGATGGTCTAGGAAGTCCCTTTAGGGTGGTACTTTGAGTGGAATGGTTATTAGGAAATTGTGGATGTTAAGGAAGTCAGGAAAGAAAAGGTCACTCACAATTCAACTATTTAGGGTAAGAAACGCTAGAGCAGAGTGACCCTAAATTCCTAAGACTCACTGTTCTGGAGTGTGTCCTAAAGGACTGGCTACATAATGCCCAGAAGTCAAGCCCTCACCTCTGCTCAAAACTAGAGGCCAGTAGGTGCCAATGAAGTTCACTGAGCGTCAGATCTATTTATGCCTTACTTTAATGTGGGAATTTTGACTACAGAATTTAAGGAAGCACCAAAACCAGTCAGTAAACAAGACAAATATTTTACTGTTATCTTAAAAATGATGATGAGCAAAATCCACCCCCCTCACAACTACGATGAACAAAACTGTCAAACAATGCCTCCTCTTCACCCCTCTCCCCCTCACCACCAGCTCGGGAAGTTTCCTCCGAGCGGTATCTGTTCCAGGGATTTCTGGATCGAGCTCTTTGCCCAAATCCACACTCTCCACTTATCAAAATCTCGGGCACACTAGACCAGAGCCACTCCCACTGCCATTCTGTGAGCTGGCCCAAACCAATCCTGCTCTCTCCAAAGTGCCCTGTCTATAGCGGCGCACCCTCCCACCGTCGGGGCCACAAAGCCGGTGTCGCTCCTATCTGGGAGTCCCAATAGAGTATCACCCCGCAGCCCTATCCCACAAGTACTTTACTCCGATCCGCTCCCACACCCATTCGGCTCAGGCCCAGCCCGTGACGACTCTGCTTTCAGCTCCGGGAAGCGGACAGCGGCAGAGGCTTAAGTGGGGGAACTTAGATCCCCCGCACCGCTGAAAGTCAGCGCGCAGTCTGACCACCCGGCTGCAGGACCTCCTTTGCTAGAATCCTCGGGCGTGTCCAAGCCGGTCTGTAGATCTCATCGACCCTCAGAGGAGGAACTTGTGAACCCGGCAGTCGGGCACCTTAACAATGGGCTCCTAAAGTTGGCTGTGTAAGAAGAAGTGCAAAAGGCCGTGGCACCTTGGTCGGAGAAACCTACACATCCCTCTTCTATATCCCGACTACACTCCCGAGAGCCCTCCGCGGCCACTTCCGCCGTCCCTTCCGCTCGCCCCTTAGCGTGTGGCGTTGACGTAGCAGGGACAGTTCCGGTTGGTGGATTCCGCCCATTAGTTTTGTTGGTGGCGACTGCACCTTGCCATTGGGGTATTTCCCACACCTCTGCCCTTGGTTCCCGAGCTTCATCCTCAGGATTGGCAACGTGCACCCCGAGTTCCGTGAGTGCCCCACAGTCACGGCCTCGTCCATTCAGGACGTTCCTCTGCTTGTCACTGTTTTACTCACGAGGGCACAGGCTGCGTCTGTACTCGGGAGCTCTCATGTAGGCACCTCCAGACCATCCATTTTCCTTTGATTCCAACCCACAGGGGTAGAGACAAACCCTTACTCCGCTGCTGGGGGACATGGGTTTCACTCTCTGGCCAAGCTTGGGGCTGAACTTGAGGGGTTCGGTCACCCTCGGCCCTTTCTCCAGGGCGCTGGATGGGAATGGGTTTGTGCTGGTGATTTCTGTGACACTCCCAACCCCCAGTAGTGAGCCTCTGGAGCAGACCTAGCCTGCACGTGGGAAGGGTTTTCCAATTAGACATTCTCTCATTTCTCTTCACATCCTCAGATTTGCCTTCTGAGTTTGCCCTTCTTTAGGGAGAGCACTGAGGAGATCAGAAAAGTTACCACGGAGCTCCTGAAAGCCAAAAAAGAGGTGAGAATATGTGTAAAATTCCATTTTGGCTGTCGAGAGAATGAATACATTCCCTTTTCTTGCTTTGGAGGCTGCTTTATTGGTTGTTGGGCAAAGCTCATTTTCCTGGTCCTGGAGGAGTGGCTTATTAATACATGCAGCCCCTCAACATTTCTTTCTGCCCCATCCATGCTTCAGTCATCTTCTAATTAAGTTAATTGGGAACAGCTCACGTGGGGCAATTGAAACCATTGACAGCTAACATTTTGCCTCTCTCATATTCATTATCTACTTGGCCCCTGAACGGTTTTCATTTTCCACCTTTGAGTCTGGGTGGCCAGGTTGAGTGCCAGGCTGAGGAGTGTAGACTTTGAGTAGATGGGTTTTGAAGGATGTTGAGAAGGAATTTGATGTAGGAAATCAGAGATATAGGCATATAGGAACTTAAGGGGAAACTGTCTAACCCCAGAGAATGGTGACTGTGATGACTTAGACTTAACTGAATGTGACTAACACTTATTGAGCACCAACACAGTTGCCAGACTGGTTTACTATCATTGTTGATATGCACTTGCTTGGTTTTTTCAGATCTGCCTTCACTGTCTTGATTTATTCTTAATCTTGGTCTCTGTAATAAAGATATACAATTTCCTGGGCATTGTCAGAACAACTTTGAGAGTTCTGTGTTTCTCATTTGTTAAATAGTTTATTCATTTGAAAAGCGTCAGTACCAAGAATGCATAAAAAATCTGGGGGCATTTCCAAAGGTAACATTGAATCTTTTATATGCACTTTCTTCACTACTCATAATGTTAATAGGGAAGCATTCTGATTTTCTGGGAAAAGCCAGAAATTTGTATGAGCTGACTTTTTCCTTTTCCTGACCTTAATACTTTAAAAAAAAAAGCATTATGAAAACTTGATCAAAGTGCACAAGCATTTGAATGGATAAGTGGTTTAGGATGAAACCTCTGTGCCTAAAGGAGTACCTGGCACACAAGATATGTTTGCTGCATGACCTTAAATAAATAAATTTGAAGGAACTAAGTCACAAGGGAGTTTCTGTTGTTTGTTTGGATATGTTATTTGGGGCGTACAATTAACCACATTTCAGGGGGGTTGGGATGAATTCCAGGTATTCTAACATGCATGACATCTGAGTTCCAGAAAACAACTTAAGAAAATCCACAATAGGATGTTAATTATCACCACCTGAGAGGATAAATTAGAATTTGTAACAAATGAGTTGGGTTGGTAGGCACATGTTACTAATTCTTAGCATTTTCTCAGTTGATTCTGCTGAACAAATTTGCTGAATGTATACTGTTTACAGAAACTAGATAGACTAAATTCAGTGATGGATAAAATACAGCCTGCACTCCTATGAGTCTTCCATTTTATTTTTAGATTGCTTTATTTTTGGGATTTGGTTTAATTTTATATATACACACCCATGGGACTTCCCAGGTGGCACAGTGATAAAAGAATTCACCTGCCAATGCAGAAGACTCAGGAGACGTGGGTTCATTTCCTGGGTTGGGAAGATCCCCTGGAGGAGGAAATGGTAACTCACTCCAGTATTCTTGCCTGGAAAATTCCATGGACAGAAGAGCCTGGCAGGATATAGTCCATGGAGTCGCCAGGAGTTGGACGGGACTGAGTGACCGAGCATACATGCACACATATATCCCTCCAGATATACATTTTGACAAAACTAAATGACAAGATTCTATTGTTTCAAAGCTACTGACAGTGTATCTACTCAGACCCATTTTCTTTCTTTCTTTTTTTAAGGTTTATTTATTTTTGGCTGCACTGGTTCTTCGTTACTGCGAGAACTTTTCTCTGCTTGCAGTGAGCGGAGCTGCTCTTTCCTGCGATACATGGGCTTCTCATTACAGGGGCTTCTCTTGTGGCGCACAGCCTCTAGAGTGCATAGGCTTTAAGTTGTGGTGCATGGGCTTAGTTGCCACTCGGCATGTGGGATCTTCCCGAAGCAGGAACTGAACCTGTGTCCCTTGGATTGGCAGGCAGCTCCTTAACCACTGGACCACCAGGGAAACCTGCAGACCCATTTTCTAATAGGTGAAGGAACAGCCAGAATTTATCCCACTGAAAGTGATTTCTGTAATAGTGCTTTGAATGAATGATCCTATTGACTGTTTCCCAATTGAGGGGAACATTTAACTTGTTAACATTTAACATTTAACTTGTTACAGATAATGCTTCTGTGATCAACTTTGTGTATGAAATTCTTTTATAGATTGGTATTTATCCTCAAAACAAAAATATGACAAGGTGAAGAGAAATAAGTGTTTTAAAGCAGTGACCACTCATGGCAGTTGGAGCTTTGGAACTCCGCCTATTCTAAAACGTTTGATCTTGTCAGTTATCTCTTCTTTGTTTGAGATTTCCTTTTCCCATCACTTTTGCTTTACATGTTGCACTTTTTTTGTTTTTGTTACACTGTGCAGTGTTACATTCCCAGGATAGACCTGCTAGTATAGATCTTTTTCTTCTCTCATGTGAGTATTCACAGTAATGTCCTGATTTGTTTCCCCATGTTGATATGTCCCTTTGTTACTCATTGCATCTGTAATCCTCATTCCCCTTAAACATTAAAATTATATCACTTTTCTGTTCAGAAGACTCCCTTTGGTGTGTCACAACACTGTCTGAGATATTCAGTCATCACTTCAAATGTATTCTGTTTCTGACATCATGTTCTAATTATTCATTCTGAAAGCATGTTTATTGACACCAAAGTGGAATAATCTCATATACGTCTTTAATTTAGATAAATTCACTTTTTAGGCACTTGGCCGAAAAAAGAGAGAAAAATAACTTTCAGGTCATTCAGATTAATATCCTTTATCACCTAATGACTTTATGCCTGAAAGTGAGTGAGAAATGGGAAGACTGAATCTGTTGCTCTCTAAATCTGTCTCCTTGATCCAGGAAATCCTGCCTGTCCTTTAAGATCTTACTGCCCTCTCATGAAACTGTCTCTGATCTCTCTATCCTACAGTGACCTCTCTCTCTTGAGATTCCTCTGATGTGGTGATTCACAACCATGACTGTTCTTAGGAGCTCTTAAAAGTATAAAAGTCGTATCCCTAAAGAGTCTGATTTTATTGATTTGCGGTGGGACCATGCTTGGGGCACTGGGTATTACAGTCAGTTGTTCAGTCACTCAGTTGTGTCTGACTCTTTACAACCCCGTGGACTGCATGCAGCATGCCAGGCTTCTCTGTCCTTTACTATCTCCCAGAGTTTGCCTCAACTCATGTCCATTGTGTTGATGATGCCATCCAGCCATCTCATCCTCTGTCGTCCCTTTCTCCTCCTGCACTCAATCTTTCCCAGCATCAGGGTCTTTTCCAGTGAGTCAGCTCTTTGGATCAGAGGCCAAAGTATTGGTGCTTCAGCTTCAGCATCAGTCCTTCCAATGAATATGCAGGGTTGATTTCCTTTAGAATTGACTGGTTTGATATGCTTGCTGCCCAAGGGACTCTCAAGAGTCTTTTCCAGGACTTCTCTGGTGGTCCAGTGGCTTAAGAATCTGCCCACCAATGCAGGGGACACAGGTTTGATCCCTAGTCTGGGAAGATTCCACATGCCCGAGCACATAGCTACAGAAGCCTGAGTGTCTCGAGCCCGTGCTCTGCAGCAAGAGAAGCCACCTCAATGAGAAACCTGTGTACTGCAAAGAGTAGCCCCCCTCGCCTCAAGTAGAGACACCCTGTGTGCAGCAACGAAGACCCAGTGCAGCTATAAATAAATAAATAAAAATCTAACAACAACAACAAGTCTTCTCCAGCACCACAATTCAAAAGCATCAATTCTTTGGCACTCAGCCTTTATGGTTCATCTCTCACATCTGTACATGACTACTGGAAAAACCATAACTTCCCATAAGATGTTATAAAAAAAACTTCAACAAACTTTTTGACCAACCCAGTAGTTCGATTGCTCAGGCTTGGGGAGAGCAAGTGGCCGAGTGAGGGAGGGGAAGGACTGAGCCCTGCTGTGAAGTATATGTAGCGCTGGGTCATTCACCCTTGCCCTAGAGGCTGAGCTGCTTCAAGTAGAACATTAATGCATAGACCAAATAGTCTCTCAAATTCTTCAAAGTCAGCAAGAAGATTCTATTTTTAGTTTAATTCTTTGTGTGTGATGTCGTCCTCCTCTTCCTGCCTAGATTCAAAGCTCCCAATGTGAAAGAACTTTTGTTTTGCTTTTATGCCGTGTAGCAGCAAGTCTGGCATCCTGACAGTGATAGGTGCACAATGATGCTGGCTGGATAGAGATGGGAGAATAATGGTCTCTGAATTCTTGGCACCAAGGACATGGAGGGGAGGAGAAAAATTCTTTTTTTCATTTGGTATAAATTAGACAAAAGACATTTTTGTGAGAAAAACAATCAGGAGTTTATTAACATGTGCATCATGCATAGACATGGGAGTACTCAGTGATGGGTAACTCAGAAGGGGTGGTTAGGACTTGAGCTTATATAGCATCTTAACAAAATAACAATAACTTTAGAGATGTGACAAGACAAAGGAAAAGGACTTTGAATTTCTAGAGCAGCAATTGTGGGAAGGTATAATAAACATATGGGGGAACTAATGGAAGAAAAAGGCCAGTTAGTAAATGTTTGCTATGTAGATTCCTCTGGTGGGGTCTGTGGGCCGATAAGGGTCTAGAGTTGTCTCTGATGATTAATTTCTGGCCTTTGTAAAATGGGGAAAAGGGACACCTTTACAGATTAATGTTGTGCTTTTAGGAAAATGGGAAAGAGCAGAGAGCTTTTCTTGTGTCTGCTTACTAATTGCCTTCAGCTCAAAATAATTGTTTTATGCCAAAGTGGCATATTTGGGACTGGTGTATTCTGTTCATCATCCATAGTAGAATCCCATGGACAGAGGGACCTGATGGGCTACTGCCCATAGAGTCACAAAGAGTTGGACACGACTGAAGCGACTTCGTGCAGCATGTAGTAAAGTCTAGAAATCTTCTCCACCTCCTCAGAGATGCCTTTTGATCCCTCATCCTGCAGTGTGGACTGGGTGGACTCCTGGATGAACAGGGGTGTGTTTTGTATTAAAAGGCATTCATGGCATTCCGAGATGTGGCTGTTGACTTCACCCAGGAGGAGTGGTAATTGTTGAGCCCTGCTCAGAGGACCCTGCACAGGGAGGTGATGCTGGAGATTTATAACCACTTGCTCTCACTAGGTAAGAATGGCTTTCCCTTAGCACTTAAAATCTGCCCTCAGAATATTTTCTGTACATCATGGAGAAAGGCTACTCACAACACAGCTTTGTCTTAGGGTTGAGCTTAAAAACAATAATTTACCTTTGTCCTCACAGTACATCTGGATTCAGTAGAGCTGAAAGCAGATAGATTTATTCATATTGTGTATGCCACTCTGCATTTTCAGGTCTCTTTCCCAAGTCAGAGGCTTTTTTTCTTTTTTTTAAATTTTATCTTGCCCCAAACCTAGCAGATTTTTCATTTAGTAAGTTTTGATAGGCTCTTTCTCTGATTGCAGTCTCCTTTTAGTACTCAACCCTTCGACTGCAGAGAGTTCACTCTTCATGGGCCCTTTGTCCCACTCTCTTGGTTTCCCCCACCCATTTTGGCTAGGTTCTAGAATGGCCCCCTCAAACGCATAATCAGAAGTCTCCTTGTTTTCTTTCCTTATGAGCAGACATTCTGTTTTCCAAACCGGAGCTCATTTGTAAGCTGGAACAAGGGGAAGAGCCCCGGATAGAGGAGAGGCGGCGTTCACTGGGTCTGTGTCCAGGTGAGTGAGACAGGGTAGTTGGGACCGTCCGCAGCACGGCAGGTAGGGAAGAAGGGGGTACTTTTAGGTACTGGGAGATAGAGCTTTTCTAGGCCTCTTGGCCCTGGTAAGGCTGCCTGGCATGACCTCCCTTCCAGAATATCATCTTCAGGTAAGGGCGGGGGACTTCTCTGGCTTCTCTGTCTCTTTCCTCCTCCAGAAGGCCTGCCTTCCTCTCACTTAGCTTGCTTTCTGCAGGGGACACTTGTGACCAATTCAGTCTGCTGCCATTTTCAGAAGAGGGCTTCATCCTATTTATTTTTTTCATCTTCTCTATTTGTTTTGTAGTTTAAATTATTCACCTGTAGTTTATTTTGTTTTTTTTTTCTAAATAGACACCCGTCCCATCTAGGCTGCCACATAACATTGAGTAGAGTTCCATGTGCTGTCCTTGTTGGTTATCCATTTTGAATATAGCAGTGTGTACATGACCATCCCATACTCACTAACTGTCCCTTCCCACCAGCAACCATAAGTTCATTTTCTAAGTTTGTGAGTCTCTTTCTGTTTTGTAAGTTCATTTGTATCAGGAAATTACAAAAATTCTGCAAAAATAGTACAAAAAACACCATTATATCCTCTACACACACACATATTACATATTCTCCTCTACACACACACATAAATATATATCACATATATATTAACTACAAAATGGCATCATAAAATCACTTAGTATTTTACCCAGTTTGCTTTATCATTGGCATATGTGTCTCTTGTGAGCATGCTCGCCCTTCTCCCCCCACCATATGTATGTGTATATATTTATATATATCTTTATGTATATATATTTGGGTATGGAGGTTCACATGTGGATGTGTGTTAAAAGATTTTCTAAGAATGGGGATATTTTCATATAACCATGGTATAGTTACCAATTTAAGTCTGTGGCTTGTCTTTTCATTCTGTTAATGGTGTGCTTTCAAGCATAACTTGATGCTTCATGATGATGATGTTCAGTTTTACATTTTTATAATGTTCAGTTTAACTGTTTTTTAAATTAATTGTGCTTTTGGTGGTATAACTAAGAAGTCTGCTTAACGCAGGGCCACATACATTTTTTTCCCTTTGGTTTCTTCTAGAAGTTTTATACTTTTAGCTTTTACATTTAAGCCTGTGATCCATTTTTAGTTTTTTTTTTTTTTTTTTTAAATT